TTTTATGCCAGGATGCATGGGAGTTAAGAGTTTTCTATGTCTCCCGATTAAGGATGGGGGGAGAAAGTTGATTTAGTTCATGTTTGTGTTGTTAATTATGTCACGGCCTAGGACCCTCGTACCTACGGGACCGCCTCTCCCGGTATGCCCCACGGAGGACCTTAAGGTCCATAAATAGCAACACCCTAGAGGTCCCGGGCTATAAGGAAGTTAGATTAGCCTCAACCAGAGCCAGGGCCTTTTCAACACTGGCTCCGGCCTGGTGAAACGCTCTGTCTCATGAGACCAGGGCCCTGCGGGATCTGATTTCTTTCCACAGGGCCTGTAAGACAGAGTTGTTCCACCTGGCCTTTGGCTTAGAGTCAATTTGATTCCCTCCCCCTCTTTCTTTTTTTCCTTTCGCCTCCTGTGAAGAGGCTGCAACTTAATGTTTTAATGTTGTATTTTAGTCTTGTTTTTTAAGTTGTATTTTAATCAACTTGTTTTTATTATTGGTTGTTAGCCGCCCTGAGCCCAGTCTTGGCTGGGGAGGGCGGGGTATAAATAATAATTATTATTATTATTATTATTATTACCATTACAGTGGTACCTCAGGTTAAGTACTTAATTCGTTCCGGAGGTCCGTACTTAACCTGAAACTGTTCTTAACCTGAAGCACCACTTTAGCTAATGGGGCCTCCTGCTGCCACCGCGCCACCAGAGCACAATTTCGGTTCTTATCCTGAAGCAAAGTTCTTAACCTGAAGCACTATTTCTGGGTTAACAGAGTCTGTAACCTGAAGCGTATGTAACCTGAAGCACATGTAACCTGAGGTACCACTGCACATTATTCCACCTCATTCATTTTAATGCAAAGAAAACTCTATGCAAATTGACGGGGGAGATATAATCAGCTATGTCTCATTTGCAGACAGAAAACAATTGGATTGGTTTCGCTTCTGGACATGGGACGAAGAAGCGAGCATCCTCAGTTTCCACCCCTGTTAACACTTCTTTCGGAATTCTCCTTTGAGTGTGCAAATATATAGAGCACGAACTGCTCAGAGAGCTTCTTAACACTGACAAAATAGTGTGCTCTCCGCCTTCAAATTTTCCTTCCTGAAAGAATCAAAGACTTCATCAGTTGGTTAAGATCTGACGCATTGGGACAAAACATCCCCACCAGTCGTCAGAGAAGACACAGTCATCTCCTGCTGCTTATTTTTCTGTACAGTCAGTCTCGTAACGATGCCACTTCAATCATTTCGCTGGGAAGCTGCTGGGATCGGCAGAGTGACAGACGTTCGTTCGATGGCTTCGAGTGTAATTGAGCTGTTGTGTTCCCACAATGAAGGGCGTGCTTGGGATCGTTGTGAACCGTACTGATTGTTAAACTGGCAATTTACACCCTGACACAAATAAACACAGTCAACCCTGCCTCCCTCACACCCCAAAGATCATCTTCCCCCCTCCCAAGCCCAAACTTTGCTGATGCCTCATCAGAACCAACTATTCTGTGAAACAGCATGCCTTTCAAGATCAAACAGGTAAAAA